ATTAACATTGTTTTACATTAATATACTTAGTGCCAGTTAACATTTAAAACAAGTTTCAATGCATAGCGCTTGATACTTCTTTGAATCTGTTACAGTCAGTTGAGAGTATGAAAACGGTTAGATCTAGGCTAAAAATAATTATTCTTCTAGCCAAAAATAAAGGCATAATATTTATAACCATGTATCAACTTTACTAAACCACAATATTTTGAAACCATTAAATGATACCTAATGATATTTACCTTAAAAAGGCAACATGCATCGTGTTGTTTCATCTCATGACTAGTTATGCAGACACTTTGTTCAAAGGGTTTTAGCACTATAATATATTCCTACTTTCAATACAGCATACTGCAACGGTTCTAATAGTTCTAGCAAAATGAATGCCTTCAAAGGGAGCGGAATCATTTTCAAGTCACTGGTGTCAGTTTTTTTCCTCTGGAACAAGGAACATAATAAACAATCTGGTTCTGCCCAGATAAACTAGTGTAATAAGAGGGACTGTCAAGAGGCATTTCTGTTCAGTCTAGTGCTGTGACATCATCAAGCTCTTCTGTCTGTTCTACGCCTGACCTCTTTGCTCTGACATTCTCCTTCTTATCTAATTTCCTCTTGCAACTTCTCTCTTCTTCAGGGATGTCAGCATTATTTGAGGAACCTTCTTTGTCTGAATCAACTATGAGCACTTCATCTTGCTTTTGTGCCGTGGAGGTGGAAGGCCGAGCTCCATCGCCGCCGCCATTGGTTATGCTTTTGGCAGCATCTTCAGCTTGTTTGGGCCCCACTTTTTCTGGGGCGTCACCAACAATTTCAAATTCAACATCCTTTCTTAGGTCTTCTCTATGAAGGATGTTGATCAATAAAGTGTAGTTCTGAAGGAAGTCATCTGCTTGAAGCCAGCTGCCCTTTCTAATTCCACATTCTGACATCTGCCTGTGATTATTAGCGTCTGTCTCTCTCTCTCCTAAAGATATTAAGATTGTTCCTTTCCCATCTAACATTTGGACATCTGGTGCTATGATAGCAAATTTTTCTCTCACTATCTTATCCTGTAAGATGAGAACAGTCATTTCATGGACATTTGGCCACACGGTCACCTCTGGCTTGCTGGCACATACATAACAACTGGGGATGGAAGGATCCAGTGCACAAGGCACAAGGAGCTTCTTTCATGGGCTTGGTGGTTTATTCAAAAAAATTTGTTCTACACTAGTCTATTTTTCCTGATAAAATCTTCAATCCTTCCAATACCATCCGCCCAGCCACCACTGCACTAGCAGTAGTGATTGCAGGAATAATGTTCCCTGCCGTTGATTTTATATCACATCTGCTCTTCATATTCATACTGAAAACAGGCATCCTGGTGTTTGCAGCAGAGGTGACAGAATCCATTGCCGAGGGGCCGTCCCTATCCCACGTGAGCTCAGCTCCATCACCCTTTTCTGCTAAAGGAATTCTTAATGTCTCAATGCTCTTTGAAAAAAGACTTGCACAGCTCTTTACATCTAGAACCTGCTGGGCTTTCAGGCCTAACTGGGGTTCATTTTGTCGATCTGATGCATTGGTTTCTTCTCCTTGACTTTGTACTTCAGCCAGTCCAGCAGAACTGAAGGTTTCCTTTTCTGCCATAGTTTGTCCATTGTTAATAGATATCTGATATCATCTTTAAAAATCTTGGTAAAAGGTTTAACTGGATCATACCCAGTTGGTTTGGCGCATTCCTTGTGGAAATACATTCAATGTCACCGTCTTCAGTAGATGCTCTGGCTTTGGCTTCTGTTGGTTCCCAGGCAGCTTCAGGGTCATCTCCGTCAGGATGCTCTTCTTGATCAGCATCTTCTTCCCCAGACAACTGGCTGAACAAATACTTTGCCCAAACGATGCAATGAATAGGTTCTGAAGGTGTGTTACGAATTGTACAGCCAGGAAAAGTTCTCTGGGTTGGCTTAGGATGACATTCATAACACTTGGTCGCACCCTTTTCGATAGTAGTTACTTGCCCGAGATAACCAGCAGGCCTACTCTCAATAAGAGGGACGTCCGCTGCCAGGCACATCCTACCGATATGGTTTCGGGCAGCTCTGTTATCTAAACCATTCATAACCAATATAAACTGTGGAAAATTCCACATTATAGTCAGGTTTCATAATGCTGTCATGGTAGGCAATGATACCAGCTTTTGGGTAAAACTGCAACCTGTGCCTTTGATCTTCCAATATGTTTCTTTTGAAACAAAAGCTGCCTGTTGAGGTTACTGACATCAGTGGTATCCACATCAATCAGGTCAATATGGGAGAAGCCAGTGAGCACACGAGGGTCTTGAGGAGCTCGAAGGCCATTCCTCCTGTGCCCACCACCAGCACCTGGCCCCCGGCCACGGCCTCAGCCAGTTCCCGGGGCAGCCCCCACAACGGTGCCACGGTGGGATGACCACGAGCTGCGGTGGAGGCAGAACTCCTGTTTATTTTTTGTTTGTGTCTATTCAAGTGCAGTTTTGTTACATTATTATATTGCATTATGGTGACGTCAGGGCCCATGTCAGCGTTCTTTGATATATCGCCAAATGGTATTCCAGAAGGGCAGTGCCCTGTTATACTCAACAACCACGTTGATGCGGTATTGCCAATGTTTTAATTTGCTCATTTAACTTGATGAACAAAAAATGGTATCTCGTTAGTGAAATCGTTACAGTGTATCATGATTCAACTTGAATAAAAGCCCAATAGAAACTATTCTAGAGTTTCTGTGAGTGGAAGTTCTCTTAATTCATCATCCCATCCGAGAACGGTTTCCAGACAATGTAGGAAACGTAGACGTGACAAGCAAACTAGACAAGGCAAGGCCATGTGGCCAAAGGTGCCAGCCCCCTGTGGGTGGTGCCCTGCACACCAAAAGTGACAACACTGTAACTTTGGGCTACTCTTCTTCTGACTGTCTATGTGAGTAATAAACTCTCTGAATCTAAAAGGGAGCCGTTGTAGCTGTACCGGCTAAATCAGTCAGGCCTTGGCCTTGCCTTGACCTTGCGTTGGGAGTTTGACAAATTACAGAGAGCAAAGAAAAATATAGAGAATATGTATTTGATTGAACACTGAGTTGGGACATGGACATGGTATTCATATAAAATAAAAATACATAATATCTCTGGGTGGCAAGGCTTGCTAACTTTTCGTGGTTCCTTTGTGGGGATTTGGGGGTTTTACTGTCCCCCTCCCCTCCAAGGGAAAATGAAGCAGGGTTAATTTTTCCCCCACAGGCTGTGCTGGCTGGTATTATTATGAGCAACGTCCTTCCCTACCTTGAAACCATTTACAACCTACCCAGTCTATGGAGGAAGGACCAATATGACTGTGTGAGTGTAGAGGCCCTGGCTGAGGAAGGGGAGGACAAAGGGAAAGTTGGAGAGAGGGAGAGAAAACAAAAGAGATCAGCCACGGACCTGGAGAATACTGGCAGCTCTTTGATGCCCAGTCCTCTTATTTTTGCTTAAAAAAGGAGAGTCAAGGTTGTTGGCACATGAACACATGGAGACCTCATTCCAACTACGCAAAATTAAATAAAAGGGATTAGTTAAGTGGCTACTGCTACATGCAAATCTAGTAGAAAGGGTTTGCCTTTCATTGTGTATTTGAATGACTTTAATCCAATTAATGTAAATACATTCCAGGAGAGAAGACACCAATCCTAATTAAAGAAGGAGGTGTCTTGCCAGGCAGAATAACTGCTGGAGCACCCTCCTCCTCTCCAGGGCACAAAACCAGATGACAGAAAAGGGAAACAGCAAGAAACAAAAATGATAAGAGGAGAAGGACCCAGTCCAGGAGAGAAATACAAAGGGTGTAACTGGTGGAGCTAGATCCCTGAGGAGCTAGGAGAGGGTGTGGCCCGGTGCACAGATAGAGTCTCTAGGCCAGGAGAGGGACAGCACTTCCAACGGGGCTGGAGAGAATGGGGAAGCATTGAGTGTAGACACTGACAAGTGGCAGGAGGTGGGGGAAGTAAATATTTAAGGGAATTTCAGCCTACTTTTTTCTGTGAAGAGGAAGGTAAGGTTACCTACTGAGAATGATGGAGAGGGTGGTGGGGTAGGGGATGGTAACGGTTTGCAACTACTGTAGGTCTTCAGATAGCAACTACCGTTTGGCAAAGTGTTCCGGTTGGTTTACAAATGGTATTTCCCATCTCAGCAAAGCCTGTAAGGTAGATATTATTATGTTCATTTTGCACACGAGGAGACTGAAGTTTTGAGAGAGAATTAAAGAGAGAAATGACCAGGGATATATAAAAGATTTGCTAGGCAGCCTTGAGGGCCCAGCTGTTTGTGATGGCACCAGTCCATACGGCCGAGGAATTTTTTCTCTAAATCCCAGGTATAGGAAGGGAGAGAGTGAAGGCGAGTTGAGACACAGGACTGGTAATTTTCTCAAATCTGCTTGTTTTCATGATCTTGCTTTTCCCCTCATTCCCTTTTCCCCTTAGGCTATTTGGATAGTGACATTCTTATCTGCAATTTTCCTGGGACTGGACGTTGGACTACTTATTTCATTAGTTTTTGCTTTCTTCATCATCACGGTCCGTTCACACAGGTACTTTGTCTCAGGTAAGGAGGCTGAGGTTAGGCATGGCAAGGTAAGGCAACTACGCCCTAAAGGCAAGTGCATTTTCTTTCAGAACTCAGATTCTTCTCCTGGGTCAAATCCCTGACACCAACATTTATAGAAGCATCCACGACTATGGGGAGGTAAGAATCCGAATCAGCGCCTCTCCTCTGCCTACGGCCGGGGTGGGCCAAGCCTGGAGTTTAGTTTTTCCGCAGCATCCCTTTGCTGTTGTTTCCTGCACCGCAGATACACGTTTACAAGCCCGGGGAAGTAATGCACAAGGGGAGAGGTGGGTTCTCAAGTAGCCAAATCCTTATAGTCCTACAGCCAGTTGAAGATAATTTTTGAATGTCCTTTAAGGAGAGGAAGGCTAAGAAAGAGAGGAGTGAGGAAATGAAGGGGGAAAGAAGAAAGCAGGAAAAGCAGGGGGCGAAAATGTGAGGAGAGAATTTTCTAGTTCGTGTCTCTAATACAGAAGAATTCAGATTCTCTAGGAGGTTGTAAAGATTCGTCACTCTTACTCCATAAAAGAACCGAGACGTTTCCCTCAGCTTCGCGTTCTGTCTCACAGATCGTCAGCGTGCCGGGGGTGAAGGTTTTCCAGTGTTGCAACGCCGTCACCTTTGTCAACGTCCACCAGCTGAGACGCAGGCTGCTAAAGGAGGTCCCCGCTCTTCCGCCCTGCCTTCCTCCACCTGCCCTCCCACCCTTTTGCCTCCTCCACCGCTCGTCCTCTGTATGAGACACGCTTTGTACCTTTCAGGTTGGCATGGAAAGGGTGCCCCTTAAAGAAGAAGAAATTTTCGCCCTGTTCAATCGAAGTGATACCAACCTACGGGGAGAAAAGATCTGTAGGTGTTTCTGCGACTGTGATGAACAGGAGCCACCACCCAGGGTTAGAAATGCTTTTTCTTTTCTGCATTCCTCTCACCCTTTATAAAGAAGTGCACTAGTAGTTTCTTAAAAAAACAAAACAAAACAAAAAAATCAAAACCTCTAAGGGATTTTGAGTTTTAGATGTACCGTGGAGAATTGGAAATCAAAGATTTCTACTCAGAAATAAAGACACAAGGTTCTCCTTTGAGGTTCAAATTTGGACATGAAAATAGGTAGGAAGAGACGTTCGGAGTTCTGCTGGATGGCCAGTGACAAGAGTGCAGTTTGTCTGTGGAGACTGCCAGTAATTCCATGGCTGCACCTAGTTCCTTGGCTTTTAGCTGCCTAGCTTTGGATTTTTAAAAATAAGTGACTGAAAGATTGTTTTCTGATTCCAACTAAGGCAGAGTCATGGTCGCTGGGCTTCTCCAGGATAAGCCAGGGTCTCCTGATTTCTGCCTGTGACCAAGGAAGTGATGACTGGGGATGCGGGAAAGTCGGGGCGGGGTGGGGACAAGTACGGGTTGCTATTCCAGATGGGGATTTTACAGCATCTGAAGGTTATTGTAGCTGATGAGAGTTACAAAGTGGTCATTATTTCTAACCTTGACTTGGTCTAAGTAGTTCTTTCCCCCAGAGCAAGTCTGTTCATTTCTAGCTCCTGGTTCTTTCAGTGATCACCTAGTCTAAGCTCTATCTGTACACACAGAGAAGCCCACCCCAACCCCAACATACACACAAACACCTCCTCTTCCCCACCATGCAGTTACCTGCAAAATACTGAGCGCCCACTCTTCTTCCCACACATTATAATGGAGCATAGGTTCTCCTGAGCTCCCCGAAATGACCAACTTCCCAGCCAAGAGGACAGAATTAACACTATATCTAGGGTGGGCGTGGTGGCTCACGCCTGTAATCCTAGCGCTCTGGGAGGCCAAGGCGGGAAGATCACTTGAGCTCAGGAGTTTGAGACCAGCCTGAGCAAGAGCGAGACCCCGTCTCTACTAAAATAGAAAAAATTGGCTGGGCCTGGTGGCATGCGCCTGTAGTCGCAGCAACTGGGGAGGCTGAGGCAGGAGGATTGCTTGAGCCCAGGACGTTGAGGTTGCTGTGAGCTAGGCTGACGCCATGGCACTCTAGCCTGGGTGATAGAGCAAGACTCTGTCTAAAAAAACAGCCCAAAACCCAAACCCTTTTTTTTGTTTTGTTTTCTTTTTTCCCTTTTGTTTGTTTTTTTGGGGACCTTTCCCGGGCCTTTGGCAATTGCTTTTGGGGTTTTGGATTGGGTTCCCCCGTTTTCCTTTGGGTTCCACTTTTTTGCCCGGACTTTGGCCCTTTTGAAAAGGGAAAGGGGGTTTTTGTGTTTTTTGCTTTCGGTTGTTTTTTTTTTTTTTTCATTGAAGTTAAAAAAACTGGATGACATGAAATATACCATATTTACCCTCTTGAAGCGTACAGTTCATTACTGTTAAGCATATTCACGTGGGTGCACAATCATCACCACCATCCATCTCCAGAACATTTCACCTTACAAAACTGAAACTCTATACCCGTTAAACAATGACTCCCCTTTTCCCCTTCCTCCCAGCCCCTGGCAACCCACCATTCCCTTCTAGGTCCTGTTTCTATGAATTTGACTATTCTAAATACGTCGTATAAGTGGAATCCTACAGGATTACATGCTTGTCTTTTTGTGACTGGCTTATTTCACTTAGCATAATATTCTTAAGGTTCATCCAAGTAGGTTTTTTTGGTTTGTTTTTTTGTGAGACAGGGTCTTGCTCTGCTGCCCAGGCTGGAGTGCAGTGGTGTCATCACAGCTCACTGCAACCACTTCCAGCTCCTAGGCGATATTCCTGGCTCAGCCTTCCCAGTAACTGGGACTACATGTGAGCACCATGCCTGGCTAATTTTTTCATTTTTTGTAGAGATGAGGCCTCGCTGTGTTGCCTAGGCTGATCTTGAACTCCTGGCTTCAAGCAATCCTCCCACCTCAGCCTCCCAAAGTGCTGAGATTATAGGCATGAGCCACCACACCCAGTCTCATCCAGGTAGTTCTTAAAAAAATTTTTTTTTCATGGAAAATTTTGAACATATACAAAAATAGAGATAATATGTAATATAAGGAGTACCTATGTCCCACATCAGCTTTATCAGCTCATAGTCAATCTTGTTTCATCTGTATCCCCACCTACTTATAACCACTCAAAATCGCAAGATTACTTTGAAGTAATTCACGGACTGTTTTTAGTTAGTTTTTTTTCCTTAAGAAACAGCATCTCACTCTGTCACCCAGGGTGGAGTACAGTGGCATGATTATAGCTTACTATTAATATAACCTTGAACTCCTGGGCTCAAGCGATCCTCCTGCCTCAGCCTCCAGAGTAGCTGGGACTACAGGCACCCACCACCACAGCTGGCTAATAATTCATGGAGTTTTAAATCAATTTAGGAAGTGTACAGTTCAGTACTACAGCCTTAATGTGACATATAAGGCTATTGTATTTTATCAATTCTGAGATATACATTTTTTCATATCACTGAAACTTGGATACATCACATAATCCATGACATATCATAGTTTAATTTTCAGACCTTTTTTCTTTCATTGTTGATAGTACAAAAAGTAGTGGTGTATCTTAAAATGGACAAAATAGGACAGTGAACCATACAATACAGTATATTGCTACCTTCTGAATTGTGTGTTTAGATTCTAACAACTCTCAGACTCCAGGTAAGGGGAGATTGGCATGAGCTCAAAAGTCAGAGAAACTTATAAACACTTACTGGCATTAAAAAAAACAACAACAAAAAACACTTCATGGTAGCAACGGACTTGTGCTGGGCCAGAAAGAGAAACTTGGATTGATGTTGGGTAGGAAAAACAGGCTTCCCAGTCCAGGGATAGCTTTGGACGAAGACACTGAGGGGAAGTGTGTGATGTTCTCAAGTGAAGAGGCTTGGCCGGGGAAGTAAAGTCAGGTAGACATGGCGTGAGGGGGTTACAAGAAAGACAAGAAAGTACGGCAGATGAAAGAGAGAAAAGGAGAGCTCACAGAGAACTCCCTCTGCCTGGAGGAGCTTACACCCTGCCACTGGGCCAGCCTTCCCTGGTCCCCCAAAGGCCTGGCCTCAGTAACTTTGGAGCCTTGGGGACAGCTCTCTCCTTCAAATTATACTATTATCATCTGTCTACACCACTATTTTTTTTTTTTGCTATACAATATATACTACCTTGTATAGTTTTATTTTTAAAGTTTTAAAATTTATTTCACAAGGAACATTGTATGATAACACATTTTTTTAAAGAAACATCACCTAGAATTATAGTACTCTAGCAAATAAATTCTTTTCATTTTTCTATGTGCCTTACAGTTCTTGTCCATAATTATTATTATTGATCCTTTTATTTATTTTTTTATTTTTTATTTTTTTGAGAGACCAGGTCTCACTCTGTCACCCTGGCTAGAGTATAGTGGCACAATCATAGCTCACTGCAGCCTCCAACTCCCAGGCTCAAGCGATCCTCCTGCCTCAGCCTCCTCAACAGCAGGCCCTATAGGCACACATCACCATGCTGGCTAATTTTTCTTTTATTTTTTGTAGAGATGAGGTCTCACTATATTTCCCAGGCTGGTCTCGAATTCCTGGTCTCAAGCAATCCTCCTGCCTCAGCCTCCCAAAGCACTGGGATTACAGGCGTGAGCCCCCAGGCCCAGTCATATTTATCCTTTCAATGAACATGTGCACTCTCCCTAGGTAGAGTCTGGTTCCTGTGAATGCAGAGTCCAGTTTCACTCCTTGCATGTCATTGTCTTCCTGGTCCTTGGTACTGTCCTTAAGCTATAGCAGGCACTCCAGGCCTATTAGGAGCTTGAGAGGTAAACACAGCCTTGCTCAAGTGATTTTTGTCTTCTTAAGGAAGTCTGACGGAGGACTGCTGTACCGATAAAAGAAGGAGGTGCTGAGAAAAGGGACTGATGGAAAAGAATACTTCATACAAAGTATTAGTAGGCACCAGAGACGGAGGCCCAGGGATGAAGGAAAGGAATCAAGCAAAGATGGTGTTGAGTCTGGCTCACTGGGACAATGCTAATGTCATTGATGGACATGGGAAGCTGGGAGGGGGACGCTGTGAGTGGTAAGGATAGGAAGGATGAACGTGGCTTTAGTCATGAGCTCGAAGTGGCGGTGAGACATCCAAGTAAAAAGTGCACGGTGCCTAGCCTGGGGAGAAGTTTCCTAGGAGAGAGGGAAGTCAACTGGCAGAAACAGCATAGTTGCCAGCTACTTCCGGCCCTCAGCTGAGTCTCATCACAGTCCCCCCTTCACTCTGTTGTCCCAGATTGCTTACACGGAACGGTTTGAAAATAAAGCGGATCGCGATTCCTCCTCCGTTAACCTGATTCGCTGCTCACGTTTCAATGATGGGAACACGAGTCAAAGCGCGTCGGAAGACCAAGTCCCGTACGTGGCATCGTCCTTGGCGCAAAGAAATCAAGGGCAGAACTATGAGGACGTGGAGGAAGTCTGGCTTCAGAAGGAAAGGCCCAGCCACAGCCCCGTCCCAGTGGCCGACGCCGTGGAAAGTCCGGGGAGGAGCAGATCGCTCATCCCCTACTCGGATGAGGTGCTGCCGCCCACCCACACCGTCATCCTGGACTTCTCCATGGTGCATTACGTGGATCCATGGGCTTTGGTCATATTAAGACAGGTAAGTCCTGGGGAGGCTTTCGCAGGAGCCCCCCTCCTGCCAGAATTCTCCACCGTTCAGCTGCTCTGCGCCAAGCACTGTGAGCGGCACCGGGCTGTCTTGTACTCAGCTGTGAAGAAGTTGTGACGAAGTGACACCCAAGCTTGGGGCTGCCTGTCTAGTGCGTGTAGGGTCTTCCTCACTTCCCTCTTCATTGCCTGCATCCTCAGGCAAAAAGAACAGAGAAGAATTTTCCTTCAACAGCTGTGTCCCTGGGTCCTGACTTCTCACAGGTTTCTATGACAGTTCTCATTTCTCTCCTTATGCAGTACCGTTTAGGTGCACAACTAATCACATCGCTTTCATTGTTCAATGTCTCGTAAATACAGTATTTCTTTTCAGCCAGCTTGTTTCAGCGCACAGCACTCTATCTCACTCTTGCCCATGTTGGCAGTGGCTCGGGTTTAAACACCTGAACACGAACACTCGCTTCTGCTCTACGTCCACTTTTGCATGAGATGCACTCTTTTGACTGGTTTTCCTTCTTTTAGCCTCAGATCCTATTCTGTCATACTTTCTTACTCCTTAGGGAAATATGATTCTCTCTTAAGTGAGTCCAGTTCTTCTTTGGTCTGAGGCAATAGGAAGCTTTTCATAGCAGAAAGATCTCTGGTTGGTGGTCTGGGATGTGTGTTTTGTCCTGGCTTTGCTGTTCGCTGTCAGTCTGACCAAGGCAAGTTACTGAATTGCACTGGGTCTCGGTTTCGTCATCTATAAAATGAGAAGTTTGGAAGACATTAATATTAAGATCTCTCCCATCCATGAGATCCTTTTTTCCCATCCCATTTTCAGATTCAAATATCCTCGATAATCTCCTGTCCTTTGGGCTTTTCCATTTTAGGTCATTGTCCTGGGCTATGTTCTCTTCTCCCAGTCTCATACTGCAGTTGTTACTTTAGATTTCATTCAACCCACATTGTTGAATGCCTGCTACATCCCAGACTGAGTTGGGCACATGTATATATACTATCTCATTTAATTTTCACAACTGCCTTGAGAAACAAGCTATAATTTCTCCTAAGAGTCTAAGACTCACAGCTCATAAGTGGCCTGTCCAGCATTTGAACTTTAAGCATCTGACTTTAATCACTCTTTCCCTCTGCTCCATAGTACATTTATGCCCTCCTCTGCTCTCTCTCCTGTCCTGCCTCCCCTTTTTGTCGAGGTACCCTATGTTCTGGTCCTTGGCATCACCCATCCACCCCTGGCCCATGTTGATGACTTTGTGCTCCATCCCCAAATGGAGGCAACGTCAGACACCTTTGCCTTGCGGCCTTTAGAGATCCGTAGGGCACATTTGCACTCTAAAAACGCAGGTAGCTTCATTCCCTTTGTAATAGCTCTATACACTGCATCCTGAACACTGCGTTATTGGAGGAAGTTGTCATGTTTTGTTTACTTTATAATTGAAAACTTAAATCTACTAAGCAAAACCCCGGCGGTCTATTCTAATTGGAAACCACCACTCAGATTAGGCTTCTTCCTAATTCACGGGCTTTGCCTTTCCCGCTGCTTGCCATTCAGAGCATGTCTACCGTGGCCCTAACAGAATGACTGTATGGTTCACCACAGGATCAAAAATGGCTTTCTTATTTCCACTTATCGCTGAAAAAAGCAAAGTCTGTTTTGTTTCTTTTGACGCTTTACCTTAGTGCCAGGGTCGGCGTTTACTCACTCTTGGAGTGCTAAGGCTGGTACTGACTGGCTTTGAACTGAATGTCAAGATTTATTGCCCCAGAGTGTATCTACTGGCTGAGGCAAACTTGAGGTCAGCGTCTGATTTTTACTAATCTGATGCTAAATACCTGATGCTTTACTAAAGTCAAACTCCACTTTGCAGACTAGCTCTGGATGGGACCCTCAGGGTTTCTGAATCCCGGTCCCCACGGGATCACCTGACCCCGTCTGGGCCGTATCTTGCCTCCTCCGCTCAGTGAGTACCAGGGAGAAGGGGTCACTTGCAGCCACTGAGCAATAACACCACGATGTCGTTGCTCCTGTCAACTCTCCAGACGTCTCCGTCACACCCTAGGGCTTTTCCCATGTGAACATCTTCTCTCGACGTGAACTGTTTCCCCTCTTGAGACTATGAGCAGCCCTCTCTCACCCCCGCCCCCACATGAGACGGTCCGATTCTCTTTTGTATTCCGGCACTTCAGACATTTTCTGGCATAAGGAAGTCCGCTCATCAAATGTTTGTAGGGCTGAATGGGGATGCAAAGGTACACATACCCCAGACAAGTGAATGGCCAAAGGGACTTCGAAACTCAGCAACTTAGAATGCCCTTTCCTGTGAGTGTGACGCCCTCTGACGCTGATTTACTCTCTCCTTGCAGATGTGCAATGCTTTCCAAAACGCCAACATTTTGGTGCTCATTGCAGGGTGTCACTGTGAGTATCCTTCACCCTATAAGAGGGATGTTTTGCACCCTGGGTCCTCAGCTCCCCCAGGTATCTGACACTGTGTGTGTTCCGGGTCTGGTTTGTAGCTTCTGTGGTCAGGGCATTTGAGAGGAATGATTTCTTTGACGCTGGCATCACCAAGGCCCAGCTGTTCCTCAGCATCCATGACGCCGTGCTGTTTGCCTTGTCAAGGAAGTTTCTAGAGCCCTCCGATTTAAGCGTGGATGAATCTGAGACAGTGATACAGGAAACCTACTCAGAATCAGACAAGGTTGGACAAACAGACAAAGCATGGGACTCGGGGCAGGGGTTGAGGTGGGGTTGGGGGTGGATAGCGGGGACAGACGCCCAGTCAGATAGAGATGAACAATGTCCATGAAAGGTATTTTAGCGTAGCCATGCCAGAATTTGGGATGTCGAAATGCTCCCTTACCAGTTGGTAAACAGCAGTGGGCCTGAACCACCAAGTGCCCCACTGCCATGGCATCTGGGTCCCCTTCAGTCATTTCCCCCACTAAACACAGGCTTTACCCAACCAAGTGGAGGCCTCGGGGATCCTTCTACAGCAATCTTGGCTACTGCCTGTGCCATACCCATTGCTGAATATTTTAAATGTCCCCTGGCCATATCTTTCAAACCCACCCCCACCCCGCCCTTGGCATGAATAATAACACTGATGAACCAGCAGAGCTTTATACCTGCCAGGGTAAGACTTTGGCTGTTATTTACATTGGGAGTAGTAAGAGGTTTACTTAACCTGACTAAATGCAAAGGAGAATGATATATAAATCAGAATTTTTAGTCATTTAATAATACGAAGTTAAGACTCGGGCCTACTTCAGCATTTTAAATCAGTATAGGTTAAAGGTTTCCCAAGAAAAGTAAATTAAAACACAGATGGGCACCAAAATATTGTCTAATAACTAGAAATCATTTTTTTTTTTTTTGAAACAGGGTCTCGCTTTGTTGCCTGGGCTAGAGTGAGTGCCGTGGCGTCAGCCTAGCTCACAGCAACCTCAGACTCCTGGGCTCAAGCGATCCTCCTGCCTCAGCCTCCCGAGTAGCTGGGACTACAGGCATGCACCACCATGCCCGGCTAATTTTTTCTATATATATATATTTTTAGTTGTCCAGATTATTTCTTTCTATTTTTTAGTAGAGACGGGGTCTCGCTCTTGCTCAGGCTGGTCTCGAACTCCTGACCTTGAGCGATCCACCTGCCTCGGCCTCCCAGAGTGCTAGGATTACAGGCGTGAGCCACCGCGCCTGGCCTAGAAATCATTTTTACTTAAACCCCTGATTCCTTGACTTACTACATTTCAATAACATTTGAACTTTTTATGACAAGAAAAGTATTACCAGAGTAATGTGTCTTTAAAAAATTCCAAGAAGTAAAAGACACCCAGGCTTATAAAACACAGCCTTTTTATTTTTCTTTTTTTAAAAAAACTAATGTATTATTACTAACGATTTCCCTTGCTTTGTTGAAAATTCTCACAAGTTATGTGCCTCTGCTTTTCCAGAACAACTTTTTCCCTGATAGCTACATTTGCACGTATTTTTGCCATTCAGCTCTACACTACACTCCCATCTATAAAATCACAGAATCATAAAACCTTTGAGTTGGAAGGAAGCTCCAGGCTCGTTAGGTTCACCCCCACGTGGAGCAAGACTTCTTTTGTCAGTCTCTCTGACCAGAAGTGAGCCTTTTTACGCTTAGAGACTTCCATTGGTTTTCCAATTTTAGTAAACGTCAGAATAACCTCAATGTGCTGTTAAAACACAGACTGCCGGCCCCCGCTGTGTCCCCATCCCCTGAATTTCTGATTCAGTGGGTCTTCAGTGGGACCTGAGAATTTTCACTGCTAACAAGTTACCAGGTAACGGTGATGCTGCTGGTGCAGGAACCACACTTTGAGAGCTACTGCCTCAGCGTTCAGTACGCGTCCTCCACTGGCAAAGTCTCGTGCGCCTGGTAACCTTTGCATGTGTGCCCGACATTGAATTTGGAAAATGTTTCTAGAAATAATTTGAGGCTGAGGATGATATTTTTCTTCCAGAAAGAATTTGATTGTGCTGCCAGATAGCTGGAGGCACTAGCAATCCAGGGTCTCTTTGATCTGACTTCAGGAGTTGAGGTTTTCTGGGCCATCCAGATGACCCAAAGCCCAGCTGCAGTCTGTGGGAAGGTTCACCATAGCCCCTCCCTTGTCAGGCCCTGGAATCCAATTTTTGCAACACTTAAAGCTGTCAAAAGCATTGCTCAGCATATATGGGCCACTTCTAGATCATCAAATCCCCCCCCAGGACAAAAAGTGGCCCCAAATGCCTGATTCGCCTCTCTAGATTTTGCCTTTTCCCAAATCTTGACCTGATAATTCTTGATGACCTTTTTAGCATTACAGCACCTTCAAGCAGAATTTTTTTTTTAAATAGTTTACCCAGCTCTTCTAGTTGTCCTTAGTGGGAGGGTTGGTCTGAATTATATAGTCTGCTTTTTACTATAAATGGAAGTTTCTCTATTTTATTTTTATCTGTGATTATGATACCTTGACATATTTGTTTTTACATATTATAAATTTATGTCTATTAATCTTTCCTTTTCTATTTTCCATTTGCTTTTTTTTTTTTTTGCTGCCCCCCATTTGCTTTTTATTTAGAAAGTCACTCCTGGCTGGGCGCGGTGGCTCACGCCTGTAATCCCAGCACTTCAGGAGGCCGAGGCGGGAGGATTGCTTGAGTCCAGGAGTTTGAGACCAGCCTGGGCAACATAGCGAGACCCCGTCTCCACAAAAAATGAAAAAAAAATTACGCTGTCATGGTGGCGTGCACCTCTAGTCCTAGCTACTTGGGAGGCTGAGGCAGGAGGATCCCTTGAACCCAGGAATTGAAGGCTATGGTGAGCTATGATCGCACCAGTGCACTCTTGCCTGGGTGACAGAGCAAAACCCCCCATCTCGGGGCGCGGGGGGGAAGGAAAGTCATTTCCATTTAGAAAGTGAATACATAATGACATATTTTCTTCTAGATTTTTATGTTTTCATTTTTTATATGTTATACTCTTTACCCTAGTGAGAATGTATTTCAGTGCATGCTGTTGAGCAATCTTTATTTTTTATCTATATAGCTAACCATTTCAAGCTATATACCATCTGTCTTATTAATAGTTCATTAGTGCTCTATAAAAAATATCTGAGACTGAGTAATTTGTAATAATAGATATTTATTTCTCACAGTTCTAGAACTGAGAAATCTATGATCAAGGTGCCAGCTGGTTCGGTGTCTGGTGAGGGCTTGTTCCATCTTGTCTCAGCGGCATCCTCACATGGCAAAGGCAGAAGGGCAAAGGGGCCTGAGCTAGTTCCTCCAGCCCTTTTATAAGACACCGATCCATTCCCACATCCATTCCTATCACTTCCAAAAAGACCTTACCTCTTAACACCACCGCAAAGGGGAGTAAGTTTCAATGTGAATTTTGGAGGCCGCACATTCAAACCATGGCACCCTTTAACCATTTATTGAATAAACCTCCTTTCCTCCACCGATTTGATATGTTATTTTCATAAAATATTATATTCTTATGAAAACTAAAGTCTATTTCTAGCTCAGTGTTTGGTTTCATTGCTCTATATAGCTTCAGTATCACACTGGTTTGATCGCTATGGCTTTATAATACACTTTAACATTTGGTTAAGAAGTCCTGTGTCATCAGTGTCCTATTGCAAAATTTGCTGAGTAATTCTCACCAATTTATTCTTCCAAACCAACATTTAAATCTTTTGTCAGGCCCCCATCCCCCCAAAAAATCCTGTTGGAATTTCTGTTAGAATTACATTAAAAATTTAAAGTAACTTGAGAATTCATATCTTCATAGTATTCATTCTTCTTATCCAGAAACATGAACTGTCTCTACATATATTGTCTTTTCAAATGTTTTATTCATAGTAAGGTTTTGTGACCTTCTCCATATAAATAAATCTTAGATACTTTGTATGTTTTACATTTTTATTTCTTTTTAAAATGAATCTTCTTTTCCATTATGTTTTCTAACTGACAATTGCTAGCAAATAGGAAATGCATTGATTTTTTATTAAATTATTTGGCCACCTTTGTGAGTTAGTTTACTAGTCCTAAGAAGTTTCATTGTTAATTCTTTTGAGTTTTTTAGACAGGAAAATATTTTCTAAAAATAATACTAATCTCTTATTTTCCAACTGTTAGAATTCTTATTTCAATATATTATTGCATTAGCTGGACCTCTCAGAATAATTTAGGCAATAGTGATGAGTCTTATCTTACTCCTGAATTTAACAAAAAGAGCTGCTTATGTTCTATTAAGGTTAGTAGTGATGGTTTAAGATTGACATTATTTACTGTGTTTTTAAAAAACATTTTTCTAGTTTACCAACATTCTTATCAGGACTTATATTGAGACTTGGTACTAAATATGTCAATTTTTTTTCTGGCATTTAAGATAAGGAAGACTAGGAAAGCAGCAAGTTCTATTTTGTATTTATTAAATTCAAGATCACCCATTAAACATGTAAGAGTGGAGATGTCTAGAATGGAAGTATGGCTGGGTGTGGTGGCTCACACCTGTTCTCCTAGCACTTTGGGAGGCCAAAGTGGGAGGATCGCTTGAGGCCAGGAGTTCAAGACCAACCTGGGCAACATAGCAAGACCTCATCTCTATAAAAAATTTAAAAATTAGCTGGGTGTCGTAGTGTATGCCTGTAGTCCCAGCTACTTGGGAGACTGAGTCAGGAGGATTGCTAGAGCCCAGGAGTTCAAGGCTGTAGTGAGCTATGATCACGACACTGCACTCCAGCCTAGGCAAGAGAGCGAAACCCCATCTCGGAAAAAAAAAAAAAAAGAAAGAAAGAATGGAAGTGAATATGTGAACCTGTAGATCAGGGGGAAGGTTATAACCAAAGAGTCATCAGCATGTAGACAGTAATGAAAATTATGGGTCTAAATAAAATTACCTACAGGTGAGGGGCAGTGGGTAGAGTGTAGATGGAGAAGAAAGGGGGCCCAGGATCAAGCCCTGGGCCATACCAACTTTTAGAAGTCTGGTAGAAGTAGAAGAGAGAGCAAAGAGACCAAGAAGAAGCAACCAGGAAGGAAGGAGGAAAAGCAGAATGTCACCTGGTGGATGAGAAGAAAATGTTTCAGGAAGGGCGAAAGTGGTGAATTTTGTGGAATGCTGCTGCAAGGCTGAGTTACCCACCGAGCCTTGTGAGCACCTGCTATGTGACAAGCTCAGTGGCCGCTACTGGGGACATCCAGAACTGCACTGCCCTACCTCAAGGAGCTTAGAGGCTAGTAAGGGGCAGGTTCGTAAATAAATAAGGCAATGCATTACAGATATTTTGATAGAAGTGTGAGTGAGGTATGGCTGGCACACAAAGGAAGCTGTGATCCTGGCTAGTCGTCTTTGATCTGGATCTGGAATGATGAATAAGTGTACGTGGATGAGATGGAGAAGGACAAGGCAGGCAAAGAGAGCAGCGCCAGCAAAGGTAAGCAGTAGTCAGGCAACGCTGGGTAACTTTATGGCTAAAACGAAGGGTGGGGACCACAGTTGGAGATAAAATTAAAGAACATGGCAAAAGGCCAGGTCACAAATGCCTTACATGTCCTGTCAAGGATTGCACTGGGGACTGGCAAGACAAGTAAGAGCAAGAAGACAAGATGTTTAAGAATGTTGAGACCATTGCTGGCTGGGCGCGGTGGCTCACGCCTGTACTCCTAGCACTCTGAGAGGCCGAGGCGGGAGGATGGCTCGAGGTCAGGAGTTCAAGACCAGCCTGAGGAGGAGCAAGACCCCATCTCTACTGAAAATAGAAAAATGAGCCAGGCGTGGTGGTGTGCACCTGTAGTCCCAGCTACTCAGGAGGCTGAGGCAGGAGGATCGCTTGAGCCCAAGAGTTAGAAGTTGTAGTGAGCTATGATGGCACCACGGCACTCTAGCCTGGGTGACAGAGTAAGACTCTGTCTCAAAAAAAAAAAAAAAAAAGACCATTGCTGTTTAAATGGTTGATCATGAAATCCAACCTACCTAGAAAAGCCAGAGAGACCTAAGTTAGGGACTGATTGAGTTTGAAAAATAGTAAGTAACTGAGAAACCAGAGGGTACAAAGAGGATGAAAAGCAGATTTAGGCAAGAAATATTTTCTACTTTGCCAGGAACCCATAGTTCTTATAACTTAAGTCCTGTTGTATTCTGAAATTCTTTGACTGCTGAAAAGTTAGAAATTTTAACCCATCTGATTGTGTGTATTTCAGGCTGACCACTCAAGACATAAAATGAGCAGGAGTCCTCCAGAAAGCCCAAAATATCCAAATCCAGGCTTTGCCAGGACCCGGGAGCCAGCAGAAGAGGAGTCGGAACTAGATTTGCAGCTGCAGCGCGTGATGGAGTCAGAACAACAGACTGAGCTGGATCTAGACCTTGACCTGGATCAGGAGCTGGAACCTGAGTCGGAGCCGGAGCCCGAAACTGAGCCTGAGGCCGAGCCCCTGACTGAGACCGAGACCGATCTGGAGCTGGAGCTGGGGCCCAAATCCAGGCCAAGGGCTCACGCTTTGTCTCGGCAGCACTACCAGCCTGCGTATCAGCCTGCGGCTCCCTCGCCCCCTTCTCAGCCTCAGCAGCCTCAGACGCGGTCAGGGGAGAGGAGACGGCACCAGATGGATCCATACTCATCTGAGGGCAACAGCAATGAGGATGCCTGGGAGACGAACTGGAAATAAGAGCTCAGATAACCTTGGCTAATCCTCCCGCCCAAAAGGGTGGCTCAGTCAAGAGACCTAGACTAGCCACAAACTGGCAGTACTTGCTTTGTGACTCCTCCTCCTGCTGGCCTTCTTCCTTGCTCGGCACTGGGATCATCCTCCCAGATCACGTGACTAGCTGCCAGCAATGATCTCTGAATTCCCTATCCAGGCTCCCCTCCTTTCACCTTCAGCAGGTATTCTAGTGATGGATTCCTTCTTCACATACCTTGTATCTATCTCTGGGGTTTCTGCCAGACCATCTCTAACTTACTCCTCTCGTCTCTGTTCCCCTTTCTTCAAAGAGATGAGACTCCAATAAAATACATGACTTTAGTTACATTCGGATCCTTCTTGCACCTCCTCCCTTCTCTCTATTCTGTATCCCTAAGGAAACGTCAAATGGGAGGGATTCCAGGAGGGAGTGGACACAGTGGAGAAGAGATGAGCGAGAACAAGGAAAACTGAGTAGCATTTGTATTTTATATGCAAGGTATCTTCACTGCACTGATGGGGAAATGGAGGAAATAGGCAGGTTAAGCCAGGCCAAAGGTAAGGAAATAGGCAGCCTGTGAGGCTTGTAGTACAAGGACCTGCTAAGCTGAAAGCACTTTTGCTGTTACTCCCAGAAGTCAAGATCTTATCCCGCCGTTGGTTTCATAAGGCCAATTAGCTTTGCCAACTTATGGGGATGGTAGCTTTCTGGAACCCTCTCTTGTCTTCAGAGCCACATCCACCACTGCTTCTTTCTTGCAGGCGTTTAAGATATAGGCAATCTGGAATCTGTATTCTTGGTGGACCAAACTTAGTTAAAATCTATGACAGCCACAAACTCCCTAGGAGTTGGAAAAGTCAATCACTACTAATTCTGTCCAAATCCATTCCAAAAATCCCCCTTCCCCATTAAAAAATGTCTAGTATTATTTTTTCTTTTTTTAATCCTAACTACTAGACTACCAGGGATAGTGTTAGTAATAAACTATGACCAGAAGAAAATAGAGACCCCTGAGCAAAAGTATATGAAATCCTGAATTTTATTTCCAACTCGATAAACCTGACTCCTCCTGCTTGGGTACTCAATTTCTCTTGTTTGTTAAATGAAAGAAATCTTTGTCAAAATATAGATGTCTCTTATCATGGAGATAGCATATATATGCACTCATTCTACAAGAATTTTTGTTAAGCATCTGCTACATGCATAGCACTGCAAACTGTGAGGTAGATAAAACAATATTATCCTAAATTTACACATACATGAACTGAGACTCAAGTTTTGTAACTAGGGCAAGGTCATATACAACATGACCTCATATTTACAAAAAGAAGTAGGGATCCTTCCGGATCACAAGCTTCGTTGTCTTCATGTTTACTGAACACATTTATGGAATTCCTACTATGTGCCAGGCACTGTCCCAGGTGCTGAAGATATAGGATGAGCAGAACAGATGACAAAAATAATTGTGAAAAGTGCCTTGCAGGGGCCGGGCGCGGTGGCTCACGCCTGTAATCCTAGCACTCTGGGAGGCCGAGGCGGGCAGATTGTTCTGAGCTCAGGAGTTCGAGACCAGCCTGAGCAAGAGCGAGACCCCGTCTCTACCAAAAAATGGAAAGAAATTAATTGGACAGCTAAAAATATAGGTAGAAAAAAAAATTAAAAAAAAAAAAAAGTGCCTTGCAGGTAAAATACAAGAAACTCTGAGAGCATACTTTGGGATGACTTGACCTAGTCTTGGGTGTCAAACAAGTTCTTCCTATGGCAATGACATATGACCTGGGATCTGAAGGGTGAGTAGGAGTTAGGCTTAAAGCAAGTTCCAATGACTGCTAGGAGGGCAGAGCCAAATGGGAAACCAAAAGTGGTGACCATGGGTAAAAACAAAACTTAAGCTAGGTGCAGTGGGTCACGCCTGTCATCCTAGCACTCTGGGAGGCCAAGGCAGGAGGATCGCTTGAGGTCAGGAGTTCAAGACCAGCTTGAGCAAGAGTGAGACACCATCTCTACTTAAATTAGAAAAAAATAGTTGGGCATGGTGGCGCATGTCTGTAGTCCCAGCTACTCGGGAGGCTGAGGCAGGAGTATTGCTTGAGTGCAGGAGTTTGAGGTTGCAGTGAGTTATGATGACACCACTGAACTCTAGCCAGGGCGACAGAGCAAGACTCTATCTCAAAAAAAAAAAAATATACACACACACACACACACACACACTCCATATATTTATATATATTCTGGTATAAACCCACAGCAACCAACCCCTCCTAAAATATAAACAAAAATGGTTAACCAATTATAAATAGTACAGCATTAAAGAAAGGATAAAGTGATGAACAATTTAAAGGCTAAGTCTTCTTTCAAAATGCAGATCACCTGAAATTCTAAGACATTTCAAACTTTACAAAATGATACAGTTTGAATTAGTTCGCTCACTTTTTACAGCATGGTCATCATGGTTTTATCTCCCTAATTAAAAACTGGAGAAAAATTCTAAAGACTTAAAAACAGGCAAAGACTGAATCTGAAAGTGTAAATGTCTTAGCACAAATTTTTCCCCATTACTAAAACAAACAAAAACAAAAAACAAAACAAAAACCCTCAAAGCAGCTTCCTTTAGGTATGATTTTTATGTGTGAAGATCTAAGTTGATTTCATAGAACTTTGGAACTGCAGAAAAGTAGGTTTGGAAGAGACTGGTCAAAAAATAAAGTGACCCAAGGTAGCTGTCTCTAAATATATTAGGTGTCACAAAGCTCAAAGACTCAACTATATTGGATCTCGATTCAACTCTCACTTATCAGCAGAAATAGAGAAAGTGATGGCATAATCCTGGGTTGTTAATAATCTTGGGGTCATAAAATCTCAATACTTGGAAGGACCATTTTGGGATCTTTTGGTTTATAGTTTTCTTCAAGTTGGTAAAATTTTTGGCCATTCTTCTTCAAATATTTATTCTCTCTCCCTTCTCCTTCAGGAACTCCACTTACATGTACAGTAGACCACTTGAAGTTGTCCCATAGCAAACTGATGCTCTAGTTATTTTTTCATTTTTCCCTTTTATTTTATTTACACTTTCTCTCTGTGTTACATTTTTTTTTTTGTAACCCAAACTTTAATCCTATGGATTTTCACAAAACATATTACAAATGACAGCATGGAAAAAAAATCTTGCACAGTAAGTCAAAGTTCAGCTCTACAATGTTCCCTTAAACTGGCAGGACATTGGTATTTCAATTATCTCAAATTTCCAAATAAAGAACGTTACAAACAGCTATGTATTCATATATAGCGATCACATAAGGGATTTAGGATCTAAAGCAAAGCTAAACTTTCTTGGAATTTATTAGACTCTACACCAATTAGGCAACCTCCGCTCAGGGTGAAAACCAGTTGGATTTTTCAGAAACCTCTAATTTAGTATAACGGTGCAGCTTTTATTTTTACCTGCTGGCTTGTTTCACAGCAGCTTCTGAAGACTGCTTGTTCAACCACAGCTGCATACTATATCCCAGATGTGGGAAAAAAATAAATCTTAGTTCAATTTTTGCCAATATTGTTTCAGTATTTTAAAAAAATCCACACTTCAGCTGGGCAGGATTTAGAGGTTTATTATTAGTTTATGCAAAACTAAAAAGCAAATTCAGTTTTGCTGGCAGAATTGGAATGAAGGACAACTCACATTTACTGAGTGCATGAGATGGTATAGATACTTGACAGGCATTCCCATATTTAATTGGCACTTCCTCCACTGCCTCTCCTTGAGGTAGGGACAATTATCCTTTCTATCCAGGAGAAGAATCTAAGACCAGAAGTTGCCCAAAGTCACAGCTATTCAGTGTCACTGTCAGAATTCAAACCCACGTCGGATCCCAAAGATTAGGCCTTTACTCCATGCTGCTTCTGTGATCTGGGAAAGGTGGCCTTTTGGTGCCTTTGGACCGAGAAATCCCCATCGGTGCCCTGGGCGCCTCTATCTCTTTGCCTCCTCTTCTTCCCCCCTGCCCCCAGCCGTGTACACACCCAGAGACTGGCAGTTTTTACATTGGTTCATAACATCCCACATATATTTATTGAGCACCTACTATGTATCTGACACCTTTCTAGGCCCTGGCGATACAGCAGTGAGCAAAAGTCAAACATCCCAGCCTTTACGGAGCTATTATTCCAAGCTGTGGTGGGGGCAGACAAAACTAGCAAGCAAGCAGACAAAGGAAAACGAAGGCCTCTCCCTCCCCAGCACATCTCAGGCGCATTGCCAAGGGGCACCAAAATCTCCAAGGGGTCTAAATAAGGGAACATAATGAAATATTGGTGTTTAAATGAGGAAAGTAACTTTAATGGCTGGGTAACATGTCTTTTTGCAAGTCAGATGGCTTCCGATTATTTGATTTCAACAAAATTAAACAAGGACCCCTGGAGTTGTCAGTTGATGGGTCATTAAAATGAATTTTGACTATTACCGTGTGATTTGGGGCACATTATTTGGAAGGAATTCCAAAAGAATGGAATAGTATTGCTATGGCAAAACCCTTTCCATTCCCATCTACTTATTTTATGTGAATGAGTTTTCTTAGCCAAAAAAATAGGAATGGAATGATTTAGGACACAAGAAAAATCACTTACTAAGATGCATTTAAAATTTCATTTGCATGATGCTATATGTTACTTTGATTAATCATGTAATAATAATACTTGTAATGATAGGTAAGGATTTTTTAAAGGATTGAGATCCCAGGAAATGATTTTATAAATTAGATTTCAATGTAAATGCATATTTGTGTGGCACAGAAGTATGATGGGATGATTGATAAAAGACTTTCAAGTGTAAATTGTATTACCTGAGGATAAACTTCTGTGAGGGTAAAATGGAATAGAAATACAAGTTCAAGGAGAAAAAGGAGCAATGTAAAATTCTTTACAGTTAAAAACAGTGCTTTTACTTAATATATGTACATAAATGGATGGTGCATAACAAATTGCTGTAATA